GCCGGACGACGCGCGCGCGCAGACCCTGGCCGCCGCCGTGGAGGGCACGCGCGCGCGAGACCCCAGGGCAGGGGGCGGCGGCCGCGGACGACGCGGCCCAGCGCAACGGCTGCGTCGAGCGAGAATGACAGAGGGCGATTCTTCACGCTCTGAACTTCGGCCGCGCCAAGCAGCGCAACCTCGTCTGGGTGGGGGAGACGAACAGGGCGAAGAGCTCCCTGATCGAGCCCCACGCCGCCCGACACGGGGTCCCATCAGCTGGCTGATATAGCCGGGTCTGAAGTATTGTTCCGGAGCGCTTTCGAGTGGAACTCTTTGTTGATGCCCTGGGGCACTGCCAAGAACCTGTTCGAGATGGGGGGCGGCAAGATCGCAGCGCCGAAGGTGGAGAAGGGAACGAAGAACTACATGTCCAAGGGCGACTCGCCGATCCTCTGTACGCACCGGGCCCCATCGAACACCCCCCGAAAAGCAGAGAGACGAGCCAGATGGACAGTCCCGCGCGGCGCATGGTGCTGACGCACTTCTGCGCCCCCGCTACGCGCCCGGAGAACGAGCCACGCAAGAAGTGCTGGGTGCAGCGAGGGTGGGCGGTGCGGGGTGGGCTCCCGCCCCCCGCTGCGCCCCTGCCCCGTGAATGTTATTGTAGTTGTTGCAGAGACCGAGAGGATCGGCGGGCTGGGGGCCAGCCACTCCCGCCAGGCGGTGAGCAGGAGCAGCGGTATGTGCGCAAGCGCCGCGGCGAGTGCCGCTACTTCGCCTTGCCAGGTCGTTGCTTCAAGTATGGTCAGTCAGGGCCTTTGTCATGCGATTGTCCGTTATGAGTACCCCGTGATCTGAGTTGTCCCCGCGCCGTGGAGTCTTTACAGCAGCATCCCAGTGCCATCAGTTGCCGACTTGCCAGGTCGTTGCTTCAACTGTGGTCAGCCAGGGCAGTTGTCATATGATTGCCCGTCAAGATTGTCCCATGATCTGAATTGTCCCCACGCAGCGGAGTCTTTAGAGTTACATTTCACTGTCGCTGACGTCCTTTTTTCCCCCTCTTCCCCAGAACTGGCTTGCGGCGCCCCTGTCGTCGTCGTCGTCTTCGTGGTCGCGGTCGTCTTCGTTGTCGTCGTCGTCGTCGTCGTCGTCGTTGTCGTTGTCGTCGTCGTCGTGGTCGCGGTCGTCGTCGTCGTCGTCGTCGTCGTCGTCGTGGTCGCGGTCGTCGTCGTCGTCGTCGTCGTGGTCGCGGTCGTCGTCGTCGTCGTCGTCGTTGTCGTCATGGTCGCCGCCTGTCCCCGGAGCTGGCCAGCGACGCGCGATCTTGGGCAGGGGCCGAGGAAGAGGGGGAGGAGCAGGGCGAGGGAGGCGCCCCTCGCGAAACCGGCGAGCTCGGCCAATCCAGCCGCGGCGACGATGGTCGTCCAAGCGCCCCGAGCGCGGCCTGCCTCCAGAGGGCGCTGTCGGGCCCCTGGGCCATCCAAGAACGCCCCATCATGTTCCTCCCTCCCTCCCCCCTCCTCCTCCTCATGCCTCCTCCTCCTCGTCCCTCCCGCCCTCGTCCCTCATCCTCCTCTTCCTTGTCCTCCTCCCTCGTCGCCCACCTTCCTCCTCGCCCTCCCTCCTCCCTCCTCCGCCTCCCTCGCGCCGAACCCCCAACCTCGATCGGTCTTCGATTCTCGATCGATCCTGGATCCTTGACCCTCGATCCTCGACCGAACCTGGCTCCTCGATCCTCGATCCAACCTCGATCCTCGATCGTGGATCGAAACTCGATCCTCGACCCTCGATCCTGGATCGTTGATGCATCTTCGATCATCCGTCCAACTCCCTACCTAGAGAGGTAATCAATCTTCGGTCCTCGATCCTCGATCGAATCTCGATTGTGTACCTTGGATCCTCGACCCTCGATCCTCGATCGTCGATCGATCTTCGATGAAATACCGATCCTCGATCGACGATCCAACCTTGGTCCTGGATCCTCGGTCGAACCTCCACCGTCGATCGACCCATGAACCTCGATCGAACCTCCAATCTCCATCGATCCTCGACCTTCGATTCTCGATCCTCCTCCATCCTCGATCCTCGATGACACCTCGATGCTCGATCCTCCTCCGCCTCATCCTTATCATCCCCTTCCCTCCTGATCCTCCCCCTCCCCCCTCTTCTTCCCCTCTCCCCTCCTGCTCATTTTCGTTGCTCCTCCTATTCTTCCTCTGCCTCCTCCTCCTCCTCCTCCTCTTTCTCATTATCCTCCTCCTTTTCTGCATCCTCAGCCTCGTTCTCATTCTCTCTTTCTTGTCTTCCTCATCCTTGTCCTCGTACGTATCTACGTATCCTCCTGCTGCTGCTGCCGCTCGTCCTCGTGCTTCTCATCATCCCCGTCATCATCATTCTCGTCGTCCTGATCGTTCTCATCCTCTCCTCTTCGTTATCCTCACCATGTTCTTCCCGTCTTTTCCCCCTCCTTATGTGGAGCGTCGTCTTCATCTTCCTGTTCCTCCTCCTGTTAATCCTCGTCCTCGTGCTCTCTTCCTTCTCATCCTCGTGCTACTCGTCATCCCCCTCCTCCTCGTCATCATTGTCCTCATCAGCCTCCTCCTGTTCCTGTCGTTCCCTCTCCTCGTTGCCCTCTTCCTCGTCCTCATAAGCTTCGTCCTCTGCGTCTTCATCCTCATCATCATCCTCTTCCCGTTATGGATCGGACCGCGGCCTTGACCAGGGCTTAATCTAATACCGTCAAAGAGACTGTACCATACTGCCGTATACTATGATGCAGTACCGTGTAACATATCATAATATATTACACCCTGTAAAACGGTACCAGAGCGTGCATCGGAATCTAAGTGACGATGAACCTATATATCATAATCTACACTAGCACAACGCAGTACAGCGTATTGTACTGTATGCAAGCATACTGGCACATATCACAATACAGAATGACGGAGTGTGTGATGCTACAACGTTCACAATGTAATTAAACACACGATGGCCTTTTCTTAATCTTAGAAATGATGATGTAGCCTGATACGGTGTAACAGAGTATCATAACACATGCCATTATATCATAATATCTTCACTTATGCAACCATATAACAACATAGAATGTGATCGAGTACAGCAAACCAGCACGTATCGTATTCATATGCCATAACAGCGTGTACACTATGCCGTGATACACTCTACAATGTATTATTATAGCAGGCTGTTCTATAATATACGGCATCGTCTTAACATAGTATGAAGCACATTGTATCTACAAACTATAATAGACTACGTTTAAAAGAAACGTGGAACTATATACAATTTAAAGTCATTCAAAGTACCATCGATTATAACAACGTCAATGTTAGCTAGCTATAGATGTCACATTAGACCTAGACCTTAGTACCATAAGATGTACAAGACTTCATTGGCGTTTCGCGCCATGCGCGTTGGTCCTTGAAATTTGGTGTGCAGGCAGGAGGGCAACAAGGTAAACGGAACATTTAGCGATCTTTCGTTTTGCCGTTTCTGGACGTATCCATGATAATAGTACGATATATTCTCATTCCCTCATGTATCCCCGTCCTTTTTCTTCATTCCCGCCATACCCTGCGAATTCGTCCCCATCCTCAGCTCTTTTTGTGAGAGTTTTCTTTTTTCCGCCTAGGGTAACCCTCGTTACCTTGGCCCCCCCCGCCCCCAGGTAACACTAACGACCGTACTGGGGGGTGGTGGTGGTGGCGTGGACCCCCCATACATGTTGGGGAGCGGACCCCCCGCAGGTATAGCTCTGTGCTCACAGGCATGGCGTGGTGCTGAAGGCATGCTTTGGTGCTCACAAATTTGTTGTGGCGCTTGCAGGCTCCTCATCTGTTGCGCACACGGCTGCTGCAGTATACACAGTCAAATTGCGGTGTACACAGACGACTTGGTGTTGCGATGCACGCGGCTGTTGTGGTGTACGAAGGCACTGTGTTGCACGCAGACCTTGGGCATTGTCGTATAAACAGAGACTGTGGCGAACACAGGCGATTGATGGGCCTGTGGCGCGGACGCATCCTGGCAGGTGCACGCCGCGGCCGCCGTTTCTGTTGCCCTCCCGCGCGAATCCCCCCCCATTGGGTAAGGACCGTTGCCCGGGAAAGAAAAACTATCCTTTTGCGGAGGCTCATCCTAGGAGAACTTATTCGGGGCCTCAAACAAGTTGTTAAGGGCTTGTTGGGTTCCTTCTGGAGGCCTCCCCGGTTCCTTCTGGTGGCCTTTGGGGGCTTCCCCGAGCAACCATGCTTCCAACCGCGGTCTCTCTGAACGACCGAGTCACGATTTGGAATGATTGGGGGGGGTCTTGGGGCCATCTTGGGACTCCATGGGGCTCTCTTCAGGCCATTTTGGGGCTTATGGTATATTCCAAGAGGGTTGGCTTATACCTTGACGCTCTCTCTGGGGCACCCGCTTTTCTCGGGAGCAGGGGTGGTTCTGAAGGTTAGCCCGCTCCCTCTTCTTCCTCCTCCTCCTCCTCCTCCTCCTCCTCTCTCCTCCTCCTCCTCCTCCTTCCTCCTCCTCCTCCTCCTCCTCCTCCTCCCTCCTCCTCCTCCTCCTCCTCCTCCTCCTCCTCCTCCTCCTCCCCCCTCCCCTTCTCATCCCCCTTCTCCTCCCCCTCCCCCTCCCCCTCCTCCCCCTCCTCCTCCTCCTCCTCCCCCTCCTCCTCCTCCTCCTCCTCCTCCTCCTCCTCCTCCTCCTCCTATGCGCACCTAGTTTAGGAGTGCCCCCATGCTCGAAGCCGCAAGGGTCAGGAGAACCTCGCTCGGATTGCCAAGGGCAAGCGCACATGATATAATGGCCCAGCGCCTCGTACTCCGCTCGAGGACTTGCCTCAGCGGGCCGTGTGGAGGCTATCAGCCAGCCCACCGTCTAGGGACACGGTCCCAATTGGTCACTCTTGGTCACTCCTCCTGCGCGCGCCGCCAACGGTCGTCTTTCTTCTGCTGGGGGCTGGGCCCCGGATCCTCCGAGCGAGAGTCGTCGGCGAGGTCCTCGAGTATTGCGCGGGCGGCGACCTGTCGCGGTGCCTCGGGGGGGGGGGGGGGCGGCCCCGGCGCCGCGGGCCGGGGCAGCTCGGAGGAGAGCAGGGGGCAACGGCGGAGGAGGAGGAGGAGGAGGAGGAGGAGGAGCAATGAATTCGGGCAGTTTCGCTGCTCGCATGGCGAGCGGACGAGAAGGAGTAGGCAGGAGGAGGAGGAGGAGGAGAGGAGGAGGAGGAGGAGGGAAGAGGAAGGAGGAGGAGGAGGAGGAGGAGGAGGAGAAGGAGTAGGAGGAGGAGGAGGAAAGGAGGAAAGGAGGAGGAGGAGGAGGAGGAGGAGGAGGAGGAGGAGAAGGCAGGAGGAGAAGGCAGGAGGACAGGAGGGGGCAGGAGCCACAGGAGGCAGGAGGAGGAGGAGGAGGCAGGAGGAGGCAGGCGGAGGCAGGAGGAGTAGAATGAGGAAGGAGAAGGCAGGAGACGTGAGGAGGAGGAGCACGAGGACGGGGTCGAGGGAACGAGGAGGACCAGGGAAGAGCGTTGACTCCCAAGCAGAAGGCGGGAGGGCCACGGGCGGCGGGACGAATCTTCGGGGCCTTTTTCGAGCCGTCTCGGGGACCTGGGTGACGCTGCTTCTTCTATTTTTCCAAGCTGGGGGAAGCGAAATTCACACGAGCTTTGAGAGTCGTTTGCTGGCCCCGGGCCTGCTCGAGAGCTCCTCCTTAGCAGCCTCTCGGGGGGGCACCCCGGGGGAGGGGGGGGCACTGGGGGCGGTCGGACCAAGGGGCGGATTGGCGGACGAAAGGATTGGCAAGAGCACCGTCGACGAAACCGAGTTCGTATAACAAATTTCTTCTTGTCTTGGGGTCCCGGATTTCTGCAGATTTCCAGGCCCAGACCGCGGGTTAAGACATCGGAGCTTCCAGAGTCTGTTTTCTTAGGCTAAAGTTTTCTTACTTGAAATTCCTTGTGTACGACATCTGCGGCATGCAGCTGGTTTCGGCCTGGCTGGCGGGTGCCTTCCTTGATGCATGGGCGCATCTGGCGCAGAAAGGCGCCAGGGCATCCAGCTAGGTGAGCTGTTTCGCTATCCCCTCCACTACCCCGCCCTTCGTCCGACCCGATAACACGCCAACTCGCAGTGTCCCAGATATCACGCGTTGGGGCGCAGATTCCCAACACCTGCTCATGAGCTAGCCACTCCGCAGGGGGGAATCTGTCTGCGATGCTTCCCTGAGGGAGTGAGGAGAAGGAGGAGAAGGAGGAGGAGGAGGAGGAGGAGGAGGAGGAGGAGGAGGA